AGGCCTATTTGTTAAAGAAAGGAGTTAAAAACAACTCTTTGGGCTCTACTAAGTACAACACAGATTCCTTTGATAAGGCAGCTGCAGTTGTGCATTGCAATTTCCAGATGTTGAACAGTGATGCCAGAAAGAGTGGCACCTTCATCTACTTCTCCTTATTCAGATCCAATACGTTCCTGGATTTTAACGACAGCTGATTTTTCCCCTTTCCTTGCACAGAGGATGGAAACTGCTTGCTTTAGTGCTCTCATGCTGTCCCACACAATCTTGAATCTAAAGAAGTCTTTACCCAGTGAATCAACTGAAAAGTGAAGCCTGATATTTAGAAAATTTGGGTGAGTTTTTAAAAATGTTTTAAAGGATCCTTTTTGCTGCTTAACATTTTAGGGTTTGTTATTAAAATGCTTACGCAGAAGGAGTTCACAGCCATGGGTACGTATGCATAACAACTGCACAGAAAGAGCAACCATGCACATGGAAATTAATAGAAAAGTGTCTGTACGTTTTGGTGGATACTTTGAACAATCAGCAGATGGGGAAGAGGGTTTGCTTTTAAACCAAATGTAGTTGATAGATCAGATTACAGGGAAGGGATGCTGACAGCCATGTTGAGACTACAGTAACTGCTTACCTTCAGATTCTAAAATTTCTTGTAGCACCAGGAATGAAGCAGATTGCCTGGGTGGTTCCTTTGGGTCTTCTGTCTCCTGAAGCATCTTGTAAACCTCAGACTCCTTGTCTATGACAATGTTACTGGAGGGCTGGTTGTGTTGCTCTAAACTGGGGAGAATATTTAAAAATATTTTATAAATGACCTATAATTGAAACAGTCACTGCCACAATCTGTAAGTACTACAATCTGAGACACACCCACATATGGAAACATACAGCATGGAATGGTGGAGATAGAGGCTTTTTGCACAAGTAAAATGCAAACCTACTGAGATGAACACCGCTGCTGCCCAATGGAAAACACTCAATTTTTAGAGCATTTTCACCATTTGAAAACCCCTCCTTCGTTCTCAAGTATACTTTGCAATTCAGTGCATGAAATTAAAAAGGAACTTTTCAAGATATAACAGTTCTGTTGAATTTTTTTAAAAGGCCTATTGTGCCATAAAGAATTAGTTGTACTATTCTTGGGGCAGGTCCAGCTCCTGGTGTTTAAGGGAGTTATCTGGCTTGGTTCTCCAGACAACAAGAGCTGGAGACAGAGTTCAGGCAATGGGAAGCAAGTGGGACTTTGTTATGAAAACTTGAGTTTCAACTTCAACTCCAGAGGAATAATGTGACTACCTGTTCCTGCCCTGGAATGTGGGAAACCAATGCCACAATTCAGCCAATAACTCTCTAATTAAAAACCCTTTGCATTGGAGAGGGGCCTTGACCTGTGGACCTTAGTCACAAGAGTGACTCTCAGTTTCAAGCTCACAGTGCTATTTTTAAAATGGTGATCAATATATCCATTTTACAGATAGGATCACTGTGACCCAAAGTGCTGCAGCAACTTGCCTACACTCACAGAGCAGGCAGAGTCACCCCTAAGCTGTTGCTCTCAGCAATGGATCCCCATTGTCCACCTGGCCACTTGTGTTGCCTTCTGTGGTGCATGAGCGATTAGCACTCTTGGTTTAATGGTTCTGAACTGCGAAGGTAGCACCTCAGCATCTCAACCATCTCTCTGCCAGAGGTCAAATGGATGCATGTCTTCCAGCTGAAGCATCCTAAGCGAATGCAGCTGGAAACCTTACCCACACTGGCTAAGGGGCAAAAGCCCTCTTTATAAAAAATAAGGAATGAGTGCCATCTGCCTAGTAGGTTAAATAATAAGATGCAAGCAGTTTGCTAAGTTTAGCCTACAAGAACACCATTCTTGCATAAAGTGTAGGCATTTGTACACAAGCATCCCGAATTGAGATGAATCTGTAGAGAGAATTTTTTTCACGATGAAGCAACAGCCTATGTTCCTTGCCAAAGTATAATCAAGTCATCTGGGGGTTGGCATGCACAATAAACATTCTAAGCCCCAGAGGTAAATTAATGGCAAATATTATAATGCACTTTTTCATTTAAAAATCTCAAAAATATTCCATCTATTATAAAATATTCTGGAGTGAAAGCACTGCATTCTTTTGAGAAATACACACATACATTCAAGCTTCAGGAATACAAATCTCAATGACCTGAAACTCTCAGCAGAAACAGGATCAAGTCCCAATGTCTATTACATAGGAAAATCCCTGGATTATCATCAATTAACTAACTCTGGTGTTCTCTCACCACCATTTCTACCCTCAGAATAATGGGCTGAAGCCCACTGTTAAGTCTTTCAATCACAAGACTAAAGATATTTAATCAATTTACATTGAAAAGCAAATGCTAAAAATTGTCTTACAGAACATCATAAACAAACAGAAACAAAACATTTCAAACAAACACATATTGTGACAATGTGCAAGTTAGACCTTCCAGGTTTTTAGCACTTTGTGATATTTAGAAAATGAGACTCTGAAGACAGAACAAAAAAAATCCCTCATAAAACGGTGCAATAGCTCATGTCTTGTGGAAGAGGCACATACTATGGGTTAGAGGAAAAGTTTGTGGAGACACAGATAACTCCAACATCCCTCAGTGGAATTAATCATTCCATAAGGAGAGCAGGGGAACCTTACTAACTGATCATAGAAACCAGAAGACCCACTGTTGAACTACTGCAAATTAGTAAGAAACCAACCTGTTACTGTAATAAACCCCACACAAGGATAGCTTCGTTCAGTGTATTTTGACAAGCATAATTTTGCTTTTATTTTACTGGAGTATGTTTTGTAAAAGTAATGAAGACCTTCGTGACTAGGGAATTCTAATGCTATACACTTAAGAAGTGGGTGAAGATCCATTTGGGCTCTTTTGTCAGCATTACCAGAGTCTGGATTAGCAATGGGAAAAGGGGATGTTTTACTGTTCCTGAGGTAAAGCATATCAATTACAAGTTGTAACTGAACTACAAGGAGCAATGTTGCAGGCTTTGTCTACACTTATAAGCTTAAAGTGCAACCGCAGCCGAGCTTTATTACAACAACGTGATCGTGGCTCAGTGCTGTAGGTAAACCCAGGGCCGGATTAAGTGGGGGGGGCTAGCCGGGCAGCTGTCCAGGGTGCCAACTTATGGGGGGCGCCTGATGGCAGCTCTAAGGGCGCCACGCAGCCCCCGGCCCTGGGCGTGAGGTGCCCCTTAGAGCTGCAATCAGGCGCCGCATGCCCGATTACAGCTGTAAGGTGCACAGCATGCCGGGGCTGCGCATGCGCCCGGGGGCAAAGCCATGCATGCGTCACGCGCCCGCTGCCCGGGGTGCAGGAATGGCTCGAGCTGGTCCTGGGTAAACCACTTCCATGAGGGGAGTAGCTAACACTGCTGGGAGCCTGTTTACACTAGTGCTTTACAGCACTGTAACTTGCTGCATTCGGGGGGTGTTTTTTCACACCCCTGAGCAAAAAAGCTACAGTGCAGTAAAGTGGCAATGTACACAGGCTTTCAGTAACCACACTGCATTGTAATAAATTGGTGGCTGTCTGGGATTTCCTGGCTGTTGTACTGCAAAACTTGGCCACATGTCCATTGTGACTGCTGAGTGAAAACGCAGATCCTTGTGCTTCGAAAGCATATGGTCCTTAACACCTGAGCTAACAAGGCTGTTAGCAGCATAGGAACTATGACAAAATTTTGCCATTCCAATTTTGTCCAGAAAAGGAGAATGGGACTCATACACAGTAGCCAGTTCACAGCATTGTAAGCTGAAACAGACACAAACCATCTGTAACAATCTAAGGCGTTGTCTACACTTACTGGAGCTCAGCACTGTGGGGATCAATCTCTCAGGGGTCGATTTAGTGGATCTAATAAAGACCAGCTAAATCGACTGCTGACTGTGCTCCCAATGACGCCGGTACTCCACTGGAGTGAGAAAAGTAAGGGGAGTTGACGGGAGAGGTTCTCCCATTGATTCCTCACACAGTGGAGAGTCTGACATTGCCCCCTCTGTAGACCTGGCCTAAGAATGCAGCACTTCAGCTGATTTCCTAATCCGCTCCTGTGAAAAGAACTGGTCTATCAGCTAGTGTGCAAAAATGAATGAAGTAGGTTAAACTATGCCTTTCTCTGCCCACCCTAATTTTAATGCCATAATTTGCAAACCAAGCATGCTGAATGTTGGTTTGCAGATCCTAAGATGCTGTGCTATTGCTGGTTAGCACTGTGATTCCCTGATGCTAAACTGCTTTCTATCAATACAGGCTAATACCATACAAGACTATTTATACTGCTTTTCATCGGTAGATCTCAAAGCGCTTTACAAAGGAGGGAAGCATCATTGCCCTGACAGATGGAGAAACTGAAGCACAGGAGGTGAAGAGACCTGTTGAAGGTCACCCAGCAACCCAATAGCAGTGCTGGGACTAGAACCCCAGTCTCCTGAGTGCCCAGCCAGTGCTCTACCTACTAGGATGCACTGCCTCCAAACAGTAGGTGTCACCTGCCTGGGAAGCAAACAGTGGGGAGAAGGAGCCTGTTCTTGCCAGAAATGAGACAAAATCAGCCTGATCCTTCACTACACACAAATCCAGCAATGTGTGAAATGGAAGCTCACAGAACACTTAGCTGGACAGATGGCAGTGACTTCCAGTCACCACCAAATTAGGGATGCTGGAATTAAAGGCTCTATGTTACCAGTCTGGTGATGTAAACAGCAACTCCCACTCCCCTTTCCACTGCCCAAGTCAAGTCAGTACAAGACCATTTTTCAAATAATAAAACCTTGTACATTTCACCATTCTCTGCAGGTGGGTGAGTAAAGCAGCAGAGGACAGTGGTAGACTGATTTGGTACATTCCGGTGCTTTGCATTGCATACAGCAAGCAAATGCAATGCAGAGAAAGCTTCTGTGAGGAGACCAGCATGCATTACGTTTTCATTCAGAAAGGTGACACATAAAACCTCCAATTCTTGGTGACGGGCTGACACTGAGCAATGAACAGATAACAAGTCACTTGTGGAGATGAAGCCGTGGATGCAGATGTGCGCCAAGTAAGCCACGTACACAGCAGGCAAAGTTACCTGGGAAAAGCCGGGCTAACGGAAGAGATCTGCCCTTGTAAAGTATCCAGGATGTTTCTCTGGGAATAGAGTTGCAAAGGGGAATTAAATTGCACGTGCACCACTTTGAGTCCCGGCACCTCCACTTCCACAGGGCTGTTGGGGCAGATCTGAGCGGCTTGCTTTAGCTGTTCGGGCCCCACTCTCACTTGGCTTGGGATTGAGGAGGTGCTGTGCCTCCTATGCAATGGAGGCAGAGAGGTGTGCGGCTGGAGAGGGTTATAGACCATTGCCAAAGGTGCCTGGAACGCAGGAGGCGAGAAGCGGCTGGAGGCAGCAGAGGGTTACAGGGGAGGTTGGGGTTTTCATTTTTTTAAGGTTGCAGAGTTGAGAGAAACACAGAGGGGAAAGAAGAAAGGAAGGGAGAAGTTAATGGAGGACTAAACCAAACTCCCAAGCAATTCTGAAACGAGTACTGCAAACCAAGCCTTCCTTTCACTGGAAGGGTCCATCATATACAGATCACGTCTGTGGTCCGGCTTCTGGCTAATGCTGATGTTCAGGCTGAGCACTAAGGGTAGCCTACACTGCAGCCATGAGGTGTGACTGAGCAAGCTTTAATCTAGGTAGATCGGTTATGCTTGTATGAACTGCAATCACACCTCCATACTGCAATGCAGACATACCCAAAGGGTACAATGTAGCAGGAGAAAGACCCTTCCTTAACCCACCACCTGTCAGCATCAGGCAGCTCTTTTGTAAGCTGCAGTTTCTGTGGCCAGGGTCTGCATCACTTACACCAGCACCAATCTAAGGGAATGTGCTGGGGTGGGCAATTCCAGTTACATTCCTCTGGAGTAACCCCGGCACACAGATCTGGCCAGAGCACTATGTGTTTCAGATCACATGATGTTGGTGCCAGTCCCATGTCCAAGCCTGAATCACTGAAAAACAAGCTGCGAAGGGTAAGTCTCCATTGTCTGGGTTTGAACAGGTGAAAGCCTCATTCCTGCCAGGCTTATGCAGCCTCTTACAATATCTGGATCTTAACAGCTGCCACTCACTGCCCCCTGCCCTCTTTCCAGAGAGGGAGGGAGAGTGACAGCCCCATGAGTCTCACTGACACGGGACTCTTCCCAGGAGAGAAGCATAAGGCAAAGATAAGCCTTGGGGCAATTAAGCCAAAATGCTGAAGGCACTGCCCTGATGTTACCAGGGTGTCTACACAAGCGAGACACACCACCAGTGTTCCCTCTAAGCTGCATGGCAGCCCAGCCTCCCAGGTAACGAATCAGCTCTGCCCAGTCAGAGGCTCCCTGTGAAGCTGTGCTGCCATGCAGCTTAGAGGGAACACTGGAGACCACCAATAATGTCAGACATGAACTTTGACCTAATTAGAAAAGTGATGATAAAATGTCTTACGATCCCCTTACCCAGCAGCGTTCCCCCGGAGGGAGGAGCCTTCTGCAGCCCAGGGCTGGGGTCTGACAACATGACTTGACCCAACACTTTAATCTGGCAGATAAGAGAACAAAATCCTAAATGCTAAATTCTGCCTTGACTGAGGGTGTGGGAATGGAGCCAGGGCAGATCTGACAATGCATTGGCACAATGCAACATAAGAAGGTGATCCATGTGTGCACATTGCAGATGAACTTTTAGTGCCTTAGGAGCCATGTTGTTAGACTGATATTAAAAGGTCGCAATTTCTGCAGGCACAAAACTGTGATCACCACTGAAGTTCCCCTGATCTCTCCCTTTTGACTACAACTGTAAGTCAGAGATTTGAGGACTAATACCTAAAACACAGGCATAAAACTGCAGGCAGAGGCCAGTATCTTCAGATTGTGATGGCCTCTATGCAGCACCTAACACCCTGGTCCATGACTAGTGCTCCTGAACACCAGGGTAATCTGAACCACATCCAGGGCTCTGAATTCTTGTTATTATCATGATCTTCATTTTACAGATGTGGAAATTGGGACCTCAGGAGGTGAGGTGAGTGACTTGCTCAAGGGCAGATGGAAAGTCATGGTCCAAGCCAGGAAGAGAGCCCAGTACTTTCCTGGCTCCCATCATCAGACACACTCAGGTTTGTTTCTAGCACTTCAGGTTAGAAACAGGCTAGTTTTTTTGGTGAAGTGTCATTTTTTTGGGAAGAGTTAGGTGCAAACACAAACCCGTCCCTGTGGATGTTTGCTGGGACTGCTGTTAAGGAAAGGTACATTTTCAGACTTCTAGTCTTAACCATGTAACATGCTGAGCAGAAGAGAAACTGCCCAGAGCTTTTGCCAGTTCTTTAAAACCCAAAGCAAAGGGCAGTTTAATAAAAACTCCCAGCCTGTACGGTGTCCCTGTCAGATTTCAAAGCTATTTCTTAAAAGAGGCTGCTCGTTTCCTGTACCACACTGTACCCTTCCAGCATTTCTTGAAAAGCCAGAAGACAAGACCAATGATACAACGTTCTGATAAGAAAGCATTGGGCACCTGTTTCGCTCAGAGGGTGATTTTAAGGGCTGGTATGTCATGCTGAATGAACGCTGAAACTGCGCCGGTCTCTGGCGAACAAAACACACAATTGTTAATTTCACATTTGCACCTTGCAGAACATTCCCTGTCCCCACACGCCATGCCCCCCGCACTGCATCCAGTCCCACACCTGCTGTCTGCAGAAGCCTGAAAGAGAATGGCTCATGTTAATCAATACACTCGCAATGAGTTTATGACAAAGCGCTCTCCATGACAACAGACATCCCACCAAGGAGGGGGCAGGGACTACTTACGGCTTGCTGGGGTCCTGGGCACCACCAGATGACTTGGACTCCACAGCATTGTTGAACGTCTGGATGTTTTCTGAGGAGTACAGGCCTGCAGGGCTGTTGTACTGGGCAGTGATCACTTTGGGGGCAGTGCTGGAAGCAGTGGCAGCAGTGAAAGGCATAGCACTCCGGTTGTGTGCACTTCCTATGTGTCTTATTTCCTGCATGCAAGGGAGCAAAGGCAAAGTCAGAAGCATCTGACATGCAGGTGGGAAGCGTCAGGACAGCCCAATGAACATGCAGCAATGAGGGCAGCTCTCCCTATATCCCCCCCGCTGTGATCCCACAACAGGACAGCGCTCTCAGCGGACAGAGGGTCTTTGTGCTACAAGCGTCCTGCTCCCCGTGAAAAGAGTCCATAACACAGACATTAGGCTTCAGCAACAGCAGCTCTCCAGAAAGATGGGGCAGAGACCCACCTAATCAAATTACTGCCTTGAGTGCCAGCAGACCTCACTGGAACAACTGCAGCCGGTTCCCATTAAATGGAATGGTTGGATTCGGGAGCACATGTTGGCACAGTCGCCCTCACACCATGCCCCCAAACCAAGCCTGGGCGCAGGCCTGCTGGGGGTTATCAGGTGGCTGGTTCCAATGGAGGCTGACATTTTCAAATAGGACTTGAAAAGTGGATTTAGAGGCAGGGTCCAACCTTCAAGGCCTGATTTTCAGAGGACTAAATCAAGACTTGTCTCTCCTCTTGTGGGTTCTAGGACTAGCAGCTCTGAGAAGCAGTCATTTAAAAACTCTTTGCATCTTGCCCTGAAGTGACACATGCCCAGTTGACAAAGGGACAGTTGAAATCTCCCATTATTGAGTTTTTATTTTTAGAGTCTCTAATCTCCCTGAGCATTTCTCAGTCACTATCACTATCCTGGTCAGATAAGAACATAAGAACGGCCGTACTGGGTCAGACCAAAGGTCCATCTAGCCCAGTATCCTGTCTGCCGACAGTGGCCAGCACCAGGTGCCCCAGAGAGGGGGGACCAAAGACAAAGGATTTGTCTCTTGCCATCCCTCTCCAGCCTCTGACAAACAGAGGCCAAGGACACCATTTTATCCCCTGGCTAATAGCCTTTTATGGACCTAACCTCCATGAATTTATCCAGCTTCTCTTTAAACTCTATTATAGTCCTAGCCTTCACAGCCTCCTCTGGCAAGGAGTTGGCAATACACCCTACTGCTAAATTCTTATTATTAGAGCATGGAATTACTATCCATAGATATTCTGTGGTAGTTTGGTACTTCATTTGATTCTATGCTTTCCTTCACATAGTGCCTCCACTAGCATGTTCTGTCTCAGAATCATAGAAGATGAGGTCTCTTCCAGCCTTAACGTGGCCATCTAGTCCAACTGACTGCTCAAAGCAGGACAAACCCCAACTAAATCACCCAAGCCAGGGCTTTGTCAAGGCGGGACTTTAAAAACCTCTAGAGATGGAGATTCCACCTCCCTAGGGAACCCATCCAGTGCTTCCCCACCCTCCTAGGGAAATAGTTTGTCCTAATATATCCAACCTAGATCTCCCCCACTGCAACTTGATATCACTGTGCCTCATTCTGTCATCTGTCACCACTGAGAACAGCCTCTCTCCAGCCTCTCTGGAACCTCCCTTCAGGTTGTTGAAGGCTGCTCTCAAATCCCCCCTCCCTCTTCTGCAAACTAAATAAACCCAGGTCCCTTAGCTTCTCCTCATAAGTCCAGTGTCCCAGCCCCTTAATTATTTTCATTGCCCTTCACTGGACTCTCTCCAATGTGCCCACATCCTTGCTGTAGGGGGGGCCCAGAATTGGATGCAATACTCCAGATGTGGCCTCACCAGTGCACCATAGAGGGAAATAATCCCTTCCTAGATCTACTGCCAATGAACCCCAATGTACCATTAGCCTTTTTGGCTACAAGGGCATTTTTGTCTACTGTAGGCCTCAGGTCCTTTTCTGCAGAACTGCCCCCAGCCTGTAGCAGTGCTTGGGATTCTTCCACCCTAAATGCAGGACACTGCACTTGTCCCTGTTGAACCTCCTCAGATTTCTTTTGGCCAATCCTCCAGTTTTTCTAGTCACTCTGGACCCTCTCCACATGTATTCCTCTCCCCCCAGCTTAGTGTAGCAATGAACAACATTTCAGCATTACAATGAACAAGAAATGCTGAGGGGTTATGTAACACTGGGAGGCGCAAGATCCTCCTACACTATAGCCAAAGCCACATTCTCCCCTTCCCATGTGAAGCCAAAAGCTATAGTAAAAAGGGGCAACTAGTCACTCTGGACCCTCTCCACATGTATTCCTCTCCCCCCAGCTTAGTGTAGCAATGAACAACATTTCAGCATTACAATGAACAAGAAATGCTGAGGGGTTATGTAACACTGGGAGGCGCAAGATCCTCCTACACTATAGCCAAAGCCACATTCTCCCCTTCCCATGTGAAGCCAAAAGCTATAGTAAAAAGGGGCAACGGCCT